CTACCACCACCACTGCAATCGCTGTGGTGGCACTGCCAGTTACGACGGAAAGGGAGGGAGTGGTGACTGTGACGGAAGGGAGGAAGTTTGCAGTTGCTACGCTGGTCGGCAGCCTTTGCTTCCGAACTGTCGTTGGGATAAGTGAATAAAATCACCCCAGGTTAAAATGTGGTGTCCTTGTCGGTCTATGAAGCATCAACGTGATATTGATGATGAAATATCGGATTATGAATTTTGGGGTTTGTATTTTATCTGCATTAGGGGAGAAACAATGCGCATTCACGAAGCCTGCAAATCGGAAGACATTAAGTAGCTGTACAACTAAGCATTGCAAATTGAATGAACGTAGCCCCATTAATAGTGTTTACCCAAGGTCGCCTGAGGAGATGTTGCATGGGATGGAGCAACGCAGCTGATGTGCCGGTAGCATATTACCTCGGATTATAGCATCCTTCAACTGCTTTGTCTTCTACGCGCAGTAGCACACTTCGATACCATGCCCTGCCACCACCCACTCTTCCTAGAGGAAATGAGGGATCAACTGCCCATTCCTTCAACATCCCAATTTGCTACCACCATCGGTGCAGAGCTGTAGACGTGCACATTTTTGCACGCCTCCTCTCTGGCTACACCGTGGGAAACTATGATGGGAGTGGTAGGTGTTTTGCGTGAAAGTGTGTGCTTGAGGGTCAGAGAGAGCGCACGTACTGTGCCCCTGTTGCTGCTTCAAAAGCGACCGGTGCGGTGGGGTGGCTATGCGCTCAGGTCGCTACGTGTCGGAGAGATTTTGATCAAAATCATCGCCATCCAGCTCACCACTGCAGCTGAATGTGACAGTGGTGGTGGATGATGGACTGCCTAAACCAGCGAAACGAAAAAAGACACCGCGCTGAAATTGCGGCATAAAGAGGATTCCTCTCTACCTGCTACGACCATGCCACACAACACGCAGCAAAGTAAATCTCTTCAAATTCCTGTATTTGAGATTTTAGGGCTGTTTGACACCAAATTAGAGCGCCTAATTTATGCCGCAGAAAGGAGAAGCCTATCAAAACTGCTAATTTTGTGAGTGGATGTATGTAGCAAATCGT